AGAATACAGATCAACATCGTCGAGGCAGCTTTCCAACCCAAAAGCTAGCTGCCTGAGTTCTGAACCTGCCTGGGAAAGCCCAGAGAGAAACATACTCACCCACAGCCATTAGGGAAGATCAGGTGTGTCCTTGAATGTACCCCATGTAAAAGAATTAAACTTCTAGCCTTATTCATAGGGTTTAAGCTACTCTTCTTTTTGAAAAAAAAAGTATCATGAATTATTTGATACATGTAAGAGACTATAGTTACAACTTCTGAAGCATAATAAAATGAAAAACAATGAACTCATCACTACACTGAAGAATTATAGCCTCACAATACCCCTGAAGCTATCTCTGGGTTCCCCCAGACATGTGAGCGAACCCAAACAGCTAAAGCTGGGCTGGAATTGACCTCAGAGCCTGTGGAAGACAACGTGTCTTTTCAGTTCTTCAAAGGGGAGATTTTAAAAAATCCCAACTGAACAGCATGTGTACTAATACCTTTAGCCTACTGTGATCTTGGGCTCTTTTCCTCAATATCTAGCTCCTGAATAAAAAGGGTAAATAGAAGAAGTAAAGCAAGAAAGTACAGTGTTGGCTTTCTAGGCAGTCTTGTGGTGAAAGGGAACCCCAGAATTAGAGTAGGCAGTGAAGAGGAGAGGAAAGCAGGCAACTCTGTATCTGGAGGTAGCGGGATAAGCAACCCGGAGTTGGTTCAAGAACCAGAAGTGTCGGGGACTCACCCAGGACGTGCGTGCCTTGAGAAGGAGGCAGAATGACCAACACAAGTCCACCCACAGTCGGGGCCACAAGGAAGGCTACAATGACCTAGCTCTTGTGCTTGCATTCCCAGTCAGCTTCCCGGTCCCCTCTGCCTGCTGGTCACCACCCCTTGTCTCACACCTGTAATCATTCTCCTGAGGTTCGGTTGTTTTTTATTTTGGTAAAATCCAGATAATGTGAAATTTGCCACTTTAAAGTGTATGATTCAGTGACATTCATTGTATTTACACTGTTGTGCAACCATCCCCACTATCAAATTCCATTAACATTATCATCAGCTGAAGAGGAAACTCTGTGCCCATTAAGCACTTACCTCCCATCCTCCCTCTTCCCCCAGGAGCTGACAGTCACTAATCTGCTTTCTGTTTCGGTGAATTTGCCTGTTCCAGACATTTCACATTCATGGATTCATATAACAGAAGGTCTTTTGGGTCTGACTTCTTTCACATGGCATAATCTTTCCAAGGTCCATCTACATTGTAGCGTGTGTCAGTTTTTATTCCTATTGATGGCTAAATAACATTGCATTGTATGAATATACCACACTTTATTTACCCATTCAGTGGTTTGTAGAAATTAAGGTTCTTTTCACCTTTTGCTTATTCAGAATAGTCTTGCTATGGAAATTCTCAGACTGATTTTTGTTTGAACACTTGCTTGTCAGTTCTTTTGAGTATATACCAAGGGGTGGCATTGCACAATCATATAATAATTTTATGTTAACTTATTGACGAACTACCGAAATGTTCAAAATGGTACCAGCCTGCTGATATCTTTCTCTACCAAAGTTGAAACAGATGGAAATCAATTAATTTCACTGCATCATGAGGCACTGGGTCTACTTGCCAAGAATATAATGAGTCACTAAGTTTTTAAGGAGGCTGCTAAAAATGTTCAGCAACTCTCTTTAAGGGTGGGGGCAAGTATTAACATGTCTGGAAACACTTTGAGGAGTTAATGACAAAACTCTTCAGACTTAGTTTTCTGTGTATATTATAGGTTGAGTCATGGTAGGAAATGTAAGTAAAATAAAGAAAGGTTGTTGGTGCCATAGGCACTTATTTCTACAAAGGTAAACAAATGATAAAAAAAGGTCAAGCCCCCAAGTCGAACCTTTGCTCCCAGCCCTCCTTGCCGACAGTGGGCCCAGGACCCTCTCCACACTCCGTCCTCCAAGGGGCCCACACTGGTGTTAGGTTTGTCCACAAACTTCAGTGAGACCAACAAATCCAATTACAGACTGGCAGGACGATTTCCTTTTTCTTTTCCTCCCTCAACTATAACTCTATTTTCATAAATCTGAACAGGGTGAATATTAATTCATATTCAGTTCATCATTGCCTGAGCAAGAAGGGTACCTTATTTTTTAACTCAGTAGAGCATTCACTGAATGTCTAGTGTATATCAAGTTGGGGCACAACACTACTAAGAGATTATAGTGTAGCTTTAACAATTATTTGTTTTCTCTAGAAATCTTCATCATATGTACCCCACATTTTTCCTAAAAGAATTTCAGGTAGGCTTCTGAAAATTTTAGACCTCTACATGTGTCTTGTTTCTACTTTGTTTTCTTCCCCAAGACAATTAAGAATGTAGGGCAGTAGGGAGAGAAAGAGTAGCCTCTATAAACATCTTTAATATTTAACATAAGGGGGGAAATTCCAAGTGTCTTTATTCTTGAATAAATTTACTGAATGCAAAATAATAATCCACATTTTAAGAAATGTTTTAGTTGAAATAATTTTAGGTTTGCAGGAAAGTTGAAAAACTAGTACAGAAAGTTTATGTGTAGCCTTGTTCAGCTGAGGCTAACAATTTACAGTGATCAAAACCAGGAATTTAGCATCAGTATAATATTACTAACTAAATTACTGAGCTTTCTGGAACTTCATGAGTTGTTCTCATACTGTCCCTTTTATGTTCCAGGATCCAATCCAAGATATTATATTGCACTTATTGTTGTGTCTCAGTAGTCGCCTCTAATCTGTGATGTTCCTCATTCTTTCCTTGGCTTTCACAATAAATACTTTTGATAAGTACTGGTCAGTTATTTAGAAATTCTCTCATTTTGGGTTTTTCTAATGTCTTCTCATGATTAGATTGAGACTGTGGTTTTGAGTTGGGCTTTTTTTTTTTATCATATTGTTCTTAAACCACAGAATGCTATTGTGACTTTGTCATTGTATCATGTCAAAGGACACTTGATGTTATGTCATATGAGGTATTTCTGGTGATGTGAAGCTTGTTCTTTTGGTTAAAGTGGTGTCCACCAGTTTTTTGTGCTGTGAAGTTCCTATTTTTTTTCTAACTGGTAAATATCTTTGGGTAGAGATTTTGAGACTATTAATATCTTACTTCTCAATCTTTTGCCCACTCATTTTGGCATCCATTGATAGGGTCTTACATGCAACAATTATTACTGTGGTGTTTGCCTAATTGTGATTTTTTTACTTTTTTGTTTCATTTATATTTGTTCATTGTGTTACCGAACAAGAGGAGGTCCGAGGGAGGGGCAATACAATATTTGGCCCACCTAGGGATGCCCAAAACTGCTATACAACAGGGGCCCCTCCCAAAAACAAAATATTATTAATATATACTAAAATCTACTGGGCCCTTCTGTCCGCCGCCAATTGGAAAGACATCTCTTAATGCCAGAGATTTGTGAAAAGGAAACAAAATGTTTATTTAATGCTATTCAGGCCTAATGCCACCACTAAAATATCAAAGTCCTTTAGGGTATACACCTACACCCACACAGCGCTCCCTTCTCCCACCGTCCCAACTCCCACCGTCCCAACTCCGGGTACCGTAAATCAGGAAAAGAGCACACGTCCCTTTTTCAGGCCGCTGGTGCCATCAGCTGTGTCACTGTGCAGGATCTCGAGTTAATCCAAAGTACCCTGGTACCCTCTCATGGTCCACTGGCAAGAGTCCTTTGTACCCAGTTCCAGTCAAAGTCTCTCTTGCTTTCCAGGCCACGTGGCCAAAGGGGGCACCCCAAAGCCGCGTGGGCCTCTTCTACCAAAGCTGCAGGAGTCCGCACTCCACCAAAAGCATGTGGCTGTCTTCTTCACCTGGCTGCAGGGATCTCCATTCTGGCAAAGCTGCGTGGTTCTTCCCTTTCACCTGGGAAAGAGGGGGTCCACACCCTGCCAAAACCACGTGGCTCCCTCTTTCACCTCACCTAGAGGGGGTCCTCACTCTGCTGAAACTGCGTGGCTCTCTCTTCATCTGGCCAAGCGGGGGCCCTTCATGTCTCGGAGCCAGTCTTTTCCAAGCTCCCACACAGGCACTCCTCACTCCAGAGCGCAGACCCTAGTTCCCATCTTGAGTCCTCCTAGTCCCAGCCTCAGTCCCCGCTAGTTCCTTCTCACTCAGGAGTGCAGCTCCTAGTTTCCATCCTGAGTCCCTCAGTTCCACAACCTTCTCTCCCTGGCTCCAAACTTGGCCACTCCTATTTAACGTATCTATGAAACTAGTTAAAGGTTATAGATATGTTAAATAACCATTCTAGAGGTTAGCTCCAAAACTGTTGCTATGCAAAACAGCTCTTAATGGCCTGGCTCCATTCGGTTCTTCCCCCTGGGGGGAGGTGCGAGGACATCTTATATGTCTCTCTAATATTCCTATACACTTTGAATTCTGGACACTATTCCAAATCCTTTTCTTTTGCCCCCCCCCTTGGCTGCACCCTGTATCAATTGGAAAGCTGCATTTTCTCCATATATTTATTTATTACATTAGTTATATAAATATGGTATCAAGGACATTTTATTCTATGGTTATAGTCTAGTACCACCATCATTTATTTTATGGCTTAAATTATTTTGGCTGTTGGGACCTCCTTCCAGTTGGCTCCTATGTCCTTTTGACACACTCCATCTTTTATTGAATACTTGCTCGATTTCTGTTTTCTTAAGATATTCATGTATATTTGCCCTGCCCCAGGCCTGGAATTAACCACTTATTCAAGGGGTTCTGATTCCTTTTGCTAGAAAATGGCATTTAGAAATCAGTATCTGGGCTCTAGTTTTGCTCATAGCTCTGTCCGCTGTCCCAGATCCTCTCGGCAAGGACATGTGTATACACCGACCATGCTGTGCATGCACTCTTACCTGTTGCTATGTCTGCCTATAAGCATATATATACAGGGTGGGGTCAGAAGTACATTTGCAGTTATTTATCAAAAGTAATATAATTAATAAATAATACAAGAATAAAGTCTGTGGCTTGCATACTCACAACTGTAAACCTGCTTTTGACCCAACCTGTGTGCTAAACCATGAGTTCATACTGATACCTCTGATTCCAACTCAGTATGATATTTCCTTCCAGCCCTTCCCCTTTCTTTATTTGCAAGTTCTTTCTCAGATAGTGAGAAGCCTTTTTTACAGGCCCCCTGAATTCCGTGGCTCATGTTCCCTTCCTCCTTGTCTAAGCCAACAGTGTCAGTGTAACATCTTCATGTCTCTCTAACTCTGACTCTCTTGCCTCCATCTTTCACTTGAAGGGACCCTTTTGATTACATCTGGCCCATCTGGGTAATTCCAGACAATCTCCCCATCTCCAAATCCTTTAGTTAACCACATCTGCAAAGTCCTTTCTTCCATGTGAGTTGATGTATCCTCAGGTTCAGAATATGGATTTCTTGCAGGGATGGGGAGGCTATTCTGCCTACCACAGGCACTTATTATTTCCAATAGTTACTATTATAAACAGTGCTACAATGAATAACCTTTGCTTTTATATTTTTGTACTGTAGAAGGAATATCTTCGAGGTAGACTTCTAGAAGTGGGATTGCTGGGTCAAAAGCAGGTGCTTCTTTGTTAGCATTGCCACAATTCCTTGCCTAAGTTGTGACTACCACCATGACCCTCTTTTACTTAGGGATTTTTATGTTCAGACAACCTTATTTGATTACTTCAGGTCTCTGAATTTGTAAGTCCCACTGTAACTGAGCAGACTGGGACTGGGGGACATACTCCTATCACCCTCCTCCCTTCAGGAAAGGCACAGCTATTAACTTGCCATTGTTATGCAAAGTATCTTTAATGCTGTATCATCCACTTCTACCCTCCCCCAGTCAAAAGTTGTGGGGGATACCTTCTGCTATCCTCAGAAGACCCCTGCTCTGCACCCCATAACACCACTATGCAGGCCTCCCCTAAGCTTTCAGGTTTAGTATGTGACCCCTCTGGAGGTCACACATATCACTCAAGCAAAAAGGACAAGGAGGCCCTATTTATGTTACTTAGTTCAAGAAATTCTTGGCATTCTGTATAAGTTATAAAATGTCAAACTTCCTTTCTCAGTTCAGGCATTTTACCAGCAACATAAGGCCATGTTGAAATACCACTATTTGTCTTTGGGTTCTCTCCTTCCCTTTCTCCCTTTTACTCACTTTTCTATGTAAGGATTAATATGACCAGTGTTATCAAACCCAGGGATTCCCAAAGACCGAGCCACCAATTAAGGCACGTTACTTCAGAACCACCTGATCAGAGTTTCGAAAAATGCAGATTTCTGGACTCCACCCATGGAGATTTTGAATCATGATGTCTGGGGTACTGCCTAGATGTTTCTCTGTTTTTAAAGTTCCCCAGGGGATTCTGATGTGCAGCCTGGTTTTGGAACCACTTATCTGACTCCAAAACATGAGCCTGCTTTTTTCTTCTGCTACTGACTGTATCTGAGGAGATGAAACCTCATCTGAGTCCAAGCGAGAACTGCGGATTTCTCTTACCTGAGATCGCGTTCTGGCATCCCCTCCACCTGGACCCAGCAATGCATCTGCTCCCCCAAATCTTAAGGCCAGAGGACATTGGTTTAGGCTTCAGGAGGTAGATTCCCCTCTTCATTTAGTCCTGGAAACATGTTGTTGTCCTTAGCAGTCCTTGTTACGGAGTCCCTGGGTAAAACAGCTATATAATATTGTGATTTACTCACTATTTTTTGAATCCTGAGGATATGTTTATTGATTTAAGAGATAGAGGGTGGGGGAGAGAGAGAGAAACATCAATGTGAAAGAAACATTGATCAGTTGCCTCCTGTACACACCCTGACCGAGGATTGAACCGGCAACCTTTTGGTGTGCAGCATGACGCTCCATCCACCTGAGCCACCTGGCCAGGGCATGATACTATGATTTATAATAAGACATATATATTTGTGGGTTTTTTTGTCTCCATTTCTGGTACGAAGCTCCTAAAACCCTTGGAATTTCCTAAAGGTTGAGAGGTGTAAAGGTGCCTTTCATTATTTTATTGAGGTAGCACAGTTGGACACACCTAAGGTAGGGGACTGGTTGCTGGAAGACCCAACCATGAGATTAGAGAGTTGGAACTTTCAGTCCCATCCCCCTGACCTCCAGGGAGGGGATCAGGGCTGGAGGTTGAATCAGTGACCAGTGGCCAATGATTTAATCAGAGCTATTAGTGAAGCCTCCATAAGAACCTGAGAGGGTTCAGAGAGCTTCCAGATTGGGGGATGAGAACATTTCCATGTGCCACTGTGCTGGGCCCAGTCTTCGCTGTTTGGGAAATGCCTGGGTTTGGGACATTGCCCCATGTATCTCTTCATCTGGTTGGTGATTCCAGTCCTTTACTATCCTTTTTAACAAACCAGTACTCTAGGAAGTAAATGGTTTTCCTGAGTTCTGTGAGCAGTGGTAGAAAATTAATCACACACAAGGACGGGGTTGTGGAAAGCTTCTGTCTGTAACTGATCAATCAGAAGCACAGATCACAATCTGGTCTTGTAATTGACATCTGAAGTGAAAGGCAGTCATGTTGGTCTGAATCCTCAGCCTGTGGAATCTGATTCTATTTCCAGAAAGACAGTGTCAGAATTGAGTAGAACTGAGAGACACACAGCTGGTGTCCAAAAGTTGCTTGGTGTTCATTGGTGGTATGGGAAAAATCCACCCCCCACACAGACACTGGAATTGGCTGCAGAATTTTGGGCTGGATCTGGGGATGGATCCTTTGCTTCCAAGTTGCTGGGACCATACCAGGTTCATATTATAGTCAGTCCAGATGTCTGGGTCCAACAGAGGTGAGCCAGGATCAGGAAAAAGAAGAAATTTTGGGGAGCATGTAGATGATTTAGTGCCTTAGGTCTGCCTTGTCCTTGTCCCCCAGCTACCTGAAAAATTAGGTCAAGCCTGAGTCAGCATTAAGCAGTAGGCACATCTCAGGCACTTATATATTTTTTTGTGTTTCAAAACTTCCTGAGGGAACAGAGACCCACTTGGGCAGACAACATAATTCCACTCAGGTATGTAGCCAAATCTGAGGCTAAGACCACAACTCAGAGTGCAGAAGGGACTTGAACAGGGACCAGGATGCCAGTTGAGGTTGTCTCTTTCTTGTGTGCTTCTTTCTTCATTTACTTTCTTAAGAACTTATCTGGGCTACATGGTTTAAAGACGCTCTCTGCCTTTCCACATACATATTGGCTTCCACAGTTACATTCTGTACCTTCTTTCACATGAAGTAACTAACTTGCTATCTCTTAGATCTACGTCAAATATCTGGAGGAAAAGAAGCGGATAGGCTTGGGGTCAAACGCCCAGGGGGGGTTGGAAGTAAGGTGACAAAGCACAGATATGGCCACTCAAAACCAGTTTTTATCATCTGGAGAAGTTTCCAGAGAAGAGGTGGATCATTGTGTCCTAACAAGACACAAAGGTATCTTTTTACCTTGGATGAGGAGGAGGGGACAGGTGCCTGACCTTGTGCTCTAAACCAGAAGAGCTGCGCAATGGCAGAACCCTTTATGAGAATCTGAACTGCAGTTCCAGCCTGGGGCTGTCATCCAGGCCTAGGCCCTGGTCAGAGGTGTCTGATTCCTCCCCACTACCTCTTTGAGTCAAGTTTCAGAGTACCTGTCCCCTTTCTGAGAGAAATTTCCCTGCCTTCTCCCTTTGTCTGGAAGGACACTCCAGAAAGCCAGGTTTCATTCTGTGTGACCCACCTCCCCCACCTGCTCAGTGGGCCAACAAGCAGCCTATTTGTAGGTGGGTTCATGATGCAGGATACGGCTGCTTCAGGAAACTGAGTCAGCCAATCAGATGCTCAAGGCAGAAGCAGTTAGGAGGTTATGGGACTCATCATGGGAGATGTGGTGTTGAGGAAGCAGAGACTCAGGGAGAGCAAAATCAACCAGGAGGGGAAAAGAAGTTCAGACCAGAGGGAAGGAATGAGGAAATCAGCAGTGAGAGGTCACCAGATGAGAAAGGCAGAGAGCAGAGGCAGAGAGAGAGACAGCTCCATGAGGTGGCAAAGAAAGCAGCTGGTGCCTGTGTTATCTTGCTTCTGAGGTTTGAGGATTCCAGAGCCTCATCCATCCTTAAGCCAGCAAATTTGTTGAGACTGAGTTCATTGAGATGTTTTACTTTTCTGGTGCCTGTTGTCAATGATACTCTGTTACACCTCCCAGCCTGTGAGAAAGAGAGTGACTCATCATGGTCTCAGCTCAGTTTCACAATGGGCAGGTCACTTATGGCTCAGTCCAGTCCTGTGTTTCCTGAGAGCTTCTTGAGACGTAATTCACATACCGTACAACACACCCATCTAAAGTGCATCATCTGGTGGTTTTCAGGCATGCAACAATGGCAACAGTTTAAAGACATTTTCATCACACCAAAATGAAACCCTATACCCTTTATTATTCCCCCGCTAACTCCCCACATACCTCCAGTCCTAGATGACCATAATTATTTTCTGTCTCTATAGATTTGTCTATTCCATATGGACATTTCATATCAATGGAATTATATAATATGTGGTCTTTGTGACTGGCTTCTTTCACTGAGCATAGTGTTTTCAAGGTTCATCCACATTGTAGCCTGTGTTAGTACTTCATTCCTTTGTAAGGCTGAATTATATTCCACTCTATGGGTATACCAAAATTTATATGTCCATTCATTCATTCGTTGCTGAAAAGTTGAATTCTTTCTACTTTTTGGCTATGATGAATGATGCTGCTGTAACTGCTCATGTATGAGTTTTTGTGGGGACAGTTTATTTTCCTCCTGGATCTACACCTCAGAGCAGAACGCTGGGTCATACCATAACTCTACGCATAGTGTTTTGGAGAACTGCCAGAGCCCAGTCCCATTTGAAATTCCAGTCATGTATCCTTTTCAGATCTCTTTGTTCTTCACCCAGAACAGGTTAAAATTCTGGCTCTGCCCTCTTGGAGTGGAGGAGGGGCGTATCCTCAGGCTCCATCTGCTTCCTCTGAAGTCAGAGGCTTGCTGAGGGCCCAGGACGGGACCTGACTTCCCTTCCTCTGCTTCATCTGCAGTCACAGAAACTGTTGGGGTCTTCAGTGGTTGTTGAGGGAGCAGGGACCTGGAATGCCCCCATTTTCTTCACCCCTAAAAACAACCCTACAGCTCTTTGCCACCCCCCCCAGATATATTTCAGTGAACCTCCCCCCTTCAGAAACTCAGGCAAGAAACAGATATTCATCTCTAAGTAAGGACACTCTCAGACTCCCAGGATGTTTATCTAGCGTCCTCCTCTCCCCAGGAATGTGAGGGAAAGAGGACAGTATATGTCCCCTCCAGGTCCCGAGAACCTCCTTCTTGTCTTGAATCCCTCTCTTTCATTTTTCATTATTAAAGGTCAGTGGACCAGTTCAACCTCTTTCACCCCCCTCTTTCCCCTACTCTTTCCTGACCCAGTCCTACACCTGGGAGACTCACCTGAAGAATTAGACCTTAATGAAATATGAAACTTATGACTTCAGTAACTTTTTTTTCTCAACATGGCACTATCTTCCCAGTTATTTCTTTCCTATTCAGTAACCTGGGGGATGCTGGGGCAGGAATCATACCTAACTGGTAGCTTACAGCAACCCACTTGAGTTACAGTAAACCACCCTCTTATCTGACTTCCTTTCAGGAAATGGACTATATCCCATTCTCCTTTCTTCTTAAAAACAACCACCCCACCCCACCCCACCCCACCCCACCCCACCCCACCCCACCACAGTGGCTCTGGCTCAACTCTCTTTCCACACCTTCCCTTCCCTCACATTAAGGAGAGTCCGTCCTTAGCGTGAACTGACGATGACTCACGGAAGGGCAATTTTCAGGGTGTCCCCATGTGACTCCTCTCACCTCGCTCCCTTCTGGCTGTCCATGACTTGCTCCCACCTCTGAATCCCTTATCCCCATTTTCCAGAGAGGGGGACTGTCATCCTTCCCTTTCATCATATTCCACATAAATGCCTATCAAAAGTTTGGTTCCTGTGTTTGGGAAGGTTGATGAGGATGGTTCTAGGTAAACCGCTAGCTCCTTGTGGTTCTCACCCGTTCCTGAGCTCTTCCTTTTGGCCCATATTCCGGAACCCTGGGTGCCGGAACTTCTTTCTCAGTATGTGCTGTGGGTATTTTGTTTTTATTTTTGTTTTGTATTGTGGTCCCTCCTATAAGGGCTAAAAGAGGACTGATTTGGGGGACCTGAAATAGTTAACACTGATTTAGTAGCTGCTATGTGGAAAACACTGTTCTAGGTGCTTTATGCAAAGATTTACATTACATTGCATTGCATTACATACATCGTGTGACATTGCATTTGGAGGAAAGTATTCTGGGAAGAAAGTATAGAAACGGTTGGAGTAGTTCTTACTCGCCTCTGCCTTGTACTCACAAGGTGATCCCGATTAAGCTGCATAATCCTGGTTAAGCAACTTCTTCTTCTATAAAATGGAGGGGGCCTTGCTGACTGCTTGTACACACTGGTAAGATCATTGTTACACTTAATCAGTGCAGTATTTATGACCTAAGTTCCAGTTTGCTGTGATCAATATCATCCTACATGTCTACAATGATCCTGCCCTAAACCTGAACTTCTGTTGGAAAAACTTAATATGGATCTGTCTTCTGAGATAGACCATTGTAATGAGAATAGCATTTTTAAAAATAAATTTTAAATAGGTTCTGAAAAAAATTTTTTTTAATTCAACGGAGTAAATCTTATTGGCTTTATTCAATTATGCATGAATCCTGCAGTATCCAATTTTGCAAATAGAAAGGGGCTCTGAGGTGCTGTAAGAAATGACAGATTTTCCTGGGCAGGAGGGAGCAGGAACAAAGAGATTACACTAGATGAAAAAGCAAACGCCTAGGACAAGGCCACTTTCCTTCAAGCCCTAAAGTCAAGGGGATGGCGGGTCTAGCGCGTAGATTATCTAAATAGTGCTCATAAAGCAACTCTTGATTGACTGGTTTAAGATTCCATCTGGGGGGAGCCAAAACTATAATTAAGTTAAATCTGGGTTTGGTGCTTGGGGGTCATAGCGTGACTGACTCCAATGTTTTGTTTGTCTGTTTGTTTCATTAACAACTGATTCCATTTCGAGACTGTCATCTTGTTTTTATGAACATACACATGCACAATTTAGCTATGCCTCTCAGTGACTTTTATGATGAAGGGGACAAAGCTAAATTAAATAAATTAGAAACAAACATAGTCATTTGCAAAGTTCTTTGGAATGCAGACTGGTACAGCCGCTGTGGAAAACAGCATGGAATTTCCTCAGAAAACTAAAAATTTGACTCAGCAATTCCACTTCTGGGATTATACCCGAAGAACCCTGAAACACCAATCCAAAAGAACCTACGCACCCCAATGTTCATAGCAGCACAATTTACAATAGCCAAGTGCTGGAAGCAACCTAGGTGCTCGTCAGTAAATAAGTGGTTCAAAAAACTGTGGTACATTTATTTACATGACGGAATAAATGTTTTCTTGTTGCTGTTGTTTAACAATATAACTATACACTCCATTACTGATTTTTAAAAACTATTTCCGTGTCTTTACAAAAGTAATTTGTGTTCATAGAAAGTTATTAGAAAATAAAATACAAGCAAGAAGAAGAAACTAAAGAATCACCTACAAGTCCTCTACCCAGATCCCCCTGTTAACATTTTAGTATCCCCCCTCCAGTACTTTTTTCAAGGCATAGAGATTCATGAGGCAGGATACTAGTTTGAGTTTTAGTTGGGCCCTGTTGTGAAATCTCCTAGGGCCTTGTCGCAAGAGCACTTTTGTTCCAAATTGGGTCTTATCTCCTAAAGAAAGAGCCCAGAGGAAAAGGTGAAGAGAGTGAGGAGGGGCAAGGGAACTTACCGTATTTGCTGTGTATAATGCACACCCACATTTCCGACCCAAACCTCCAGGGGAAAAAAACTTTCATTTTAATTAATTAATTAATTAATTAATTAATTAATTTATATTTAGAAACAAAACCGGTTATTGTATTCCAGGGCATTATGTTCATGCAATCATTGTTATGACTTTCTAGAGTGACACTTTTAACACGTAAGCCCAAATACAATAATTGAAAACATTTATATAGATACAGAATTAGTACTACTCATGCAGATGCACATCCTTATTTTTCCCTCAAAAATTTGGGCAAAGAGGTGTACATTATACACGGCAAAATACGGCAGATGAGATAGGGAAGGGGGACAGGGCGTGGATAGCTCCCTCCCAAAGAGGAGCAGGCTCTCTGGTGGGCAGTACGGATGCTCTGCAGACACTAAACCCTTAGAGCTGTGCAGGGAACCTGTGCCCGTTCCTCAGGCTTCTGTGGAAGCCTCCCACTACACAGAGGGGCTTTTCAGTGGGAAGACTAAAACCAGGTCGCAAGGAAAGGTCAACTTGAATATGAACCTAGGTGACCAGTCTCATTCCTAATGAAACAAGCTAGTAAGCCAGCACAAATGGGATAAGGAAGTGGAAATACAGTAATCCCTTGCTATATCGCAGTTCACTTATTGTGGCTTCACTGTATTGTGGGTTTTTTAGCGAGGGACGACTGTATACCTCACTGGTGAGTACCCATATAGAATTTTATGTGTTGTTAAAATTATGTAGGTTTAAGAGTGTAGAAAGTGTTTAAGAGCATATGAAGTGTTTATAACAGTGTGGGAAAGGTTAATAAGAGAGTGGGAAAAGGTTTATAAAGTCTTGAAATACAAATAAATAATAAAATAAATATAACGCCACTACTTCTCGGATTTTCACCTATCTCGGGGATCTCTGGAACGTAACTCCCGAGGTAGGTGAGGGGTCACTATAATTCAATGGCCAAGCAGTTTACAGTCATCTAGTAAATCTCAAAATCTTATCTTCTCTCACCAAGCACACTTAAAAATAAAGGGTTAACATTTCTCTTCCCAACCAGAGGGTAAATAGCTGGAATCACCCACTCAGGGAGAAGATAACAAAAATCCAACTGGTCTATTTTGAACCAACCACCCCTGAGAATGAAGTCAGGGGATAAATCTCATTTTGGCTCACCAACATAAAGCTGATGAATATTCTATGGAGATCCTCCCCTAAAATCTCCTCTGAACACCCAGCCTTTAAAATCTTTAAAAAAAAGGAGCAGTGGGCTTCCCTTCTCCTCTTAGGAGCGTGTCTGTGCCTTTCCCTTCCTTCTGTTCTTCTCCCCAGACATGCTACCTTTGTCCTTTTCTTCTCCTAAGCTCCAAGGGCCCTCTTTTGGTTTTTGTAACTTGTTGCCTGAGCCTATGCAGCCCAATTGGCTCACTTCTGCTACCTCTGTAACCTTCCAAATAAACTTTGTCTTATAGAACAGAGGTCCAACCTTGCCCGTAACAACTGGTGCAAGGTCACCACCAACACCACCAATAACACTCCCCTACAGTCCCCTTGGGTTCGTAGAAGTGGAGTCAGCAGAGATGGGACTCTGACGCTCAGAGTGTGTGTTCTTAATCACATCTCCTTAATGTTTTCTTGTCTTTTCTCCATGTTGCCTCCAAGTTAGCTGCATAATTGTTTTTCTTATTTTCTTTCCTCCTTCTTATTCTTTTTACTCCATCCCTCAAAGAAGAAATGTTGAAACTTGTAGCTACAATTGGGAGTGACTGCCTAAATGCCAAGAATGGGGCTGTGTCTGTGCAACTGACAAAAGATTGCTCCATGGCAACTGTTTCTTTGTGAAATTGATAGGTGAACTCAGGAGTGAAAGATTTTAGCCGTAGGGGATAGGCTTCAGTGAGTGATGCATGAGGAAAGTTGTGACTCCAGGAACTGGAATGCCTGACTCCAAACTTTGTGTGGATCAGGGTCTGCTCGTTGTGGAGGTGGTATCTGAATTGCTGATCAACAGATAAAGAAGTACCAGGAAAATTGCCCTCAGACTGCAACTCTTATAGTAATGGGGTGCAGAGCAGGGGGTTCCTGAAAATAGAGCGTATTTCCCCACAAACCTTGGTCGGGGGAAGGAGGAAGCGGAGGAGATACTCTGCATAACAATGACAAGTTAATAGCCGTACCTTTCTTGAAGGAGAGAGGACTGCCGCCCAAGGCAAAAGATGTACCTGATGGTGAGAGCACTCAGGGACCTGTGACAGCCAGGGGGAGCTTACACAGCAACTACCCAGGAGTCACGCTGACCGGCCACAGCAGCGCATTCTCCCAATTCTTCCTATCTTGTCTTCTGCCTCAAAGAGATTCTGAAAGCAAAACCGAAACTCAGCAGGCTGGGCTTCAACTAGTTCCTTAAAAGCAGTTCCATGTTAGAAGGTAATGATGTCATTTATTCTTGTTTAATGTGCTCCTGACCACGAGGACTATCTGATGACTTTTACCTACGTGCCCTTATTCCTCGTGTGTCTCAGCCAGCTGGAAGGAATTCTGGCTTGGAATTTCTGGTTGTTGCAGTGATCTACGGAGCAACCTAGGGTTTTTTGTTTATGTTTTGTTTTCTTTTGGCTGTTGTTTAGTTGGCTTCTAAAAAGGGATCTGATGCAAAGAGCAACTTTTATTGTTTTCTTTTTTTTTCTTTGCCTGAGGAGCAAGTGCCAAGCCCTGAAGTGAGTATTGAATGGGTTGACATTCTCTGGTACTTTGTGTTGGTGTTGTAACAAATGAAGAGACTGCCACAGTGGGGTAAGTGTGGACATACTTTCTCTCCACATCCATTGGAGGCAGGAGAACTTCTGCCTCAAACATTGGGCTCAGGGGCAGAAACAAGCTAATTTCCTCCTGTTCCCCAAATAACAAGATTTATCTTGCTTATCCTTATGCTTATTATTATTGTTGGGTGGTTTTATGAGGTGAGCTATTTGATTGGCCAAAGAGTTTGTTGTTTTGTTTTGTTTTGTTTTCTGTAAGATGGCTCTAGTAGTACTTAGTTGTCTTTAACTTCATTGGGAACAATTTTGTTAGATTGTATTGTGCCAGCTGTCATATCGGTGTGCATTTTTATGTGTTTATTTTTTCAATTTGTCAACTGACTATACTATTATACTACCTTCCAGTTATGAAACCCTATTTTACATGTTTATAGTAACAGCTACAATACCACCATTCATCTTTATTTTAACTTAACATATTATTAGAGACATTTTTAAGGTGTAATTTTCATAGTGATATTTTAGTGATTTCTCTCGTGTTTTTAAAAGTTTGTTTACCAAACCACACTGAAACATTTATTTAATTCATTTTTCTATTTCATTTCTCAAAGACAGATGGAAATGCTAATAAAACTTCTAATCATCATCTGATAACTAGTTGATAGTTATTTAGTTGATCATTATCTGATATAGCCACTAGTTGACACTTCATTTGCTTGTGTAGCCTAATTGCAGTTTTTGTCAGAGTGTTTGAAAAGCACATCCTGAAAATAACTTGTAGGCCCTACTGTTATCCTCACAAATCTGTATGTCCAGGGACCCCAGGGCTGGAGCCGATGACTTAAAGGGTCACCTCTCACAGGAATGTTTCTGGTGGAGTGTGATCATTTCTAAACTATTAGATCATTTTTTTCTTAAAAAAAAATAGTTTATTTATTTATTTATTTTAGAAAATACATGTTTCTTATTTTATTATTTTTTTATTGATTTTATTTATTTATCTTTAGAGGGGAAGGGAAGGAGAGAGGGAGAGAAACATCAATGTAGGGTTGCCTTTTGTGCATCCCCTGCTGGGAACTGGCCTGCAGGGAATCGGCCTGCAACCCAGGCATGTGCCCTGACTGGGAATCGAACCACGACAGTCTGGTTCGCAGGCCCTCGCTCAATCCACTGAGCTACACCAGCCAGGGCTAAATATAGTTTATTGATTATGCTATTACAGTTGTCCCAATTTTTCCCCTTTGCCTCCTCCACCCAGCACCCCCCCCCCCATTTTCTCCAGCCATCCTCCTTCCCTTAATTCATGTTTATGGGTCATGCATATAAGTTTTTTGTCTTCTCCATTTCCAATACTATTCTTAATATCCTTCTGCCTATTCTGTACCTACCAATTTGTACTTCTTAATCCCTGAACCTTTTCCCTGATTCTGCCCCATTCCCCTCCCAACTGATAACCCTCCGAGTGATCTCCATATCTATGAGAGATAGATATGTTCTGTTTCTATTCTGCTTGTTTGCTTAGTTTGTTTTTTAGATTCAATTGTTGATAGTTGTGAATTTATTGCCATTTTAATGTCCACAGTTTTGATCTTCTTCGTCTTAAATAAGTGCCTTTAACATTTCATATGATAATGGCTTAGTGATAATGAACTCTTTTAGCTTTACCTTGTCTGGGAAGCTGTTTATCTGCCCTTTAATTCTAAATGATAGTTTTGCTGGGTAGAGTAAAGTTTTGCCTTGGAACCCTGGGTTTGGGTGGTCTGGTGTCAGGCCAGGATCCCTCGCTCCCAAGGTATCCGTGATTTTTATCCCCATACATGGATGTAGGACTACCCTTCCCTCATCTCCAAGTCTCTACATCTCTGCTCCTTCTATCTATCTGGATGAATGCAACTTCTTTAATTCCTTGGTTGGTAGACTTCCGTACAGCTTAATTTTCTGATGATTCTGGGTGAGAGTTGTTTTGTAGTTCAGTTGTAACTTTTGCTTTAGTTTTGCAAGGAGACAAGCTGTGTTTACATATGCTTCCATCTTGACTGGAAGTCTCAGCGTGCACTTTTTAAAGAACTTGTCAAAACTGGTGAAATTCATGTAGACATTTTAATATTGAAGATGGAAGAGACTAAGCAACATTTTTAGCATATTATGCTTTATCATTCCAAGAAAGGTAAAAACACAACTGAAATGCAAAAATGGATTTGTGCAGTATATGGAGAAGGTGCTATGACTGATCAAATGTGTCAGAAGTGGTTTGCATAGTTTTGTGCTGTAGATTTTTCACTGGATGATGCTCTACCATCAGGTAGACCAGCTGAAGTTGATAGTGATCAAAACAAGACACTAATTAAAAACAATCAACATTATACGACATGGGAGATAACCAACATACTCAAAGTATCCAAATTAATAAAGTTATAGGTGAAAATGAAAAATGTGTCTTTTATTTTAAGGAAAAAACCATACTGACTTTTCAGCCAACACAATAAATGTGCACTGAAAAAAAATTTAACTAATCTTGAGATTATCTTTCAGCTTGGAATTTTTGTAGGGGTAATGGAAGTAAAAAAATTGTTTTTCCTACATCTGACATCTGTTTTGAATCAATCTCTTTGGCAGGCAGTCAACATCCCAGGCTAGCCTGTGTTTACAAGCCATGCTCTAAAAATAAGGTATTTAAAAATGATAACTGCATTAACTTATACTATAGACAATCACTATTTTTAAAAAGTGTGTTTTGGGGGTCTACTAAAAGGCTAATTTTTTTATATGAAGTGTGGAGAGAAAGATTAACGAAATGAACAAGAAGTGCAGTTATTGCTCACCACTGTGCGCACATAGTAGAAATGAGATGACACTGGTTTCACATAAGAGGGGGTTGAAGTGAGAAAGTCAAGTTTGAGTGAAATTGCCTATTAATAAGTTCTTCTAACACTGAAATCCTTTGGTTTGATGAAAGGGAATCATAGACAAAAGGACAAAATGCAGAGTAAGCGTATTCAGTGTGAGCAGTAATTACACTGTTGCATCAGGAGTCAACTGCTCCTAGATCTGAATGTTCTCCCAGCTCCCTCCCTCCCAAGCCCATGATTCTATGACTAAATGAACCATATAGCTCTTGCCATTCAAAACTGGTTTATTCGCCTTCATTACCTAACCTCTCACTATCAGCAGGACCTTCCTTGTCTTCCTGGATTCCGTCTGTCCGTGAGCCTTTCCGTTAAACTGGAGCTCCTCACGAGCAACCTTTTATAGGTTCTCCAAATCCCAAGGGCCTAGCACAATGCCTCACCACACACACAGGTGCTCGTTGGGTGCTTGCTGAGTTGTTGAATTAATTAATTTGATGAAATGGCAGGTGAATCACCAGGTGTGAGATATTTGTGTAACATACAGGAGGCAGTTTGGGGTTGATGCTAATGTCTTTGGAGATAGTATTATTGGTCACATTCAGGGTTGACTTGCTTTACAATGCATTGGACACAGATTGTTGCATGTCTTTTTTATTCCCCATGGCAATATCCAAATACACCAAATGCCTTAACTGCTTCATACTTAAGTTACCAAGTAATGAAGCAGCCTGACCTTCTATTGTTACACTCTGATCTACTGCAGCAGGGCTCCTTTTAGGTTATTTGTGTTCCTCTATCTTCAAATGACTCACAGAACTGCAAGACAGATAAAGGAATTTGAAAGGTTATGCAGCCCCAGTCACCTGAATGCCTTCCAGCTGTCTCTATCACTTCCAGGAACTTATTCCTTATTCGTATTCTCCAGACCTCACTATTTTAAGGATTTTTCTCCTTTGAGTCTGCAACACTGCGATGGGGGAGCTTCCCATACTCCTCGGATCATTTTTTAGATTTTTGTTTATTGATTTTTAGTCAGAGAGAGAGAGAGAATGAGATAAACACTGATTTTGTTGTTCCACTTATCTTTGCTTTCCTTGTATGTGCCCTGACCAGAGAGCAAACTGACAAACCTTTGCATGTCAGGATGACACTCTAACCAACTGACCTACTTAGCCAGGGACTAAGACCATTTCTTCTCTGCCTACCCTTGTCTCCTACTTCTGCTCTCCAACTTTGGGGGCATTCCTCAGAATTCAGACCTTTTCTTTCTGGTTTCACTTTTTATATTCTCCCCCTTAGAGAGATAATTCATTTTGTAGTGTCAATTAACATCTACATATTTTTAAAAGATTTTATTTATTTTTAGAAAGAGGGAAAGGGAGGGAGAAAGAGAGGCAGAGAAACATCGATGTGAGAGAGAACATAGATCAACTGTCTCTCATACATTCTCTGACTGAGGACAAAACCTGAAACCCAGGAGGAAGGTGTCCTGAATTGGAATCAAACCGGTGACCTTTCACTTTGTGGGTTGATGCCCAACCAACAGAGCCACACTGGTCAGGGCAACATCTGAATGTTTGAAATAACCTGTATATCTTTATCTCTAGCCCTAAATTATGTCCCAAAGTATACATACATTTTTCTTGAATGCCTTGCATTACTTCATGACTCAAACCTAACTCATCATTTTTTCTCTATAAAATCAGCTCTTGTATCTTATTTTCTCTCTTTCTTTTGCAAATAATTTACTTCCATTTTTTATGTTTTTTTAATTGCTGTTCAGTTACAGTTGTCCCTATTCTTCACCCCTTGATCTCCTCTGCCCCACCCACACCCACTCCCAAAGACAATGCCCTCCCCATTGTTCTTGTCCATGGGTCCTTTGTACATGTTTCTCTTCTTTACCATTATCCCCCTTCTCCAGCCTTTCTGGTCCTTATCAGTTTGTTCTTTATTTCCATGTCTTTAGTCCTTTTTTGCTCATTAAACAAATGTTGAGTTTTGTTGGATAGGTTCCACTTATAGGTGAGGTCATATGATATTTGTCTTTCACCACCTGGCTTATTTTACTTAGCATAATGCTCTCCAATTCCATCCACACTGTCGTGA